ATTATGTCTATTCTAGTTACCTATTATTTCTTCTTCTTCTCCTTCTCCGTTGAATTTTTATAGTTTGTGTCTTTCAAGTAATTGGTCTATTTCTTTTAAGTTGTCAAATTTATGGGCATAGTGTTTGTATCCTTTTAACATCTGTGGGGTCTGTCTATCTTTCATTCTTGATATTGGCAATTTTTGTCTTCTTTCCTTTCTGTGTTCAGTATATAGGTGTTAATTTTATTTTTATTAACTTTTGATTTCATTAATTTTTGTTTTTTTTCTATTTTCAATTGATAACTGGTCTTTATTATTTCTTTCCTTCTGCTTACGCTGGATTTAATTGGCTCTTCTTTCTCTCATTTCATAAGGAGAAAGCTTAGATTACTGATTTGAGACCTTTCTTTTTCCTATATAAACACTTAATGTCATAAATTGCCCTTTAAAGCATTGCGTTAGCTGCATCCCATGAACTTTATACTGTCTTTTCAATTTACTCTGTTCAAAATGTTTTTATTTCCCTTGAGACTTTAACCTGTGGGTTATTTAGAGGTATTGTTATTATATTTAATTTCCAAACATTTGGGAGTTTTCTAGATAACCTTTTTGTTATGGCTTTCTAGTTTAATCCATTACATTACAGAATATACTCTGTATGATTTCTGCTCTTTAAAAATTGTTAAGGTTTGTATCATGGCCCAGAATAAGGGCAATCGTGATGAATGCTCCATATGCTCTTGAGAAAAATACGTATTATGTTGTAGACTGGAGTGTTCCATACATGCTAATTGGGCCAATCTTGTCGATTGTATTGTTCGGGTCTTCTATATCTTTACTAATTTTCTGTCCACTTGTTTTACCTATCACAAAGAGAGGTGCGCTGGAGGCTCCAACTATCACTGTGGATTTATTTCTCCTTCAAGTTTTTATCAGTTTTTGCTTCATGTATTTTGAAGCTCTGATGTTAGGTGCATAAACATTTAGGACTGTTATATATTGTTAGAGAATCAACCCCTTTGCCATGCAATATCCCTCTGAAACCCTGATACTGTCCCTTATTCTAAAGTCTATTCTGTCTAATCTTAATATAGCTTTCCAGCTTTATTTTGTTTCTGGTGAGCAACAGTATATCTTTTTTTACCCTTTTAACCTATGTTTTTATTTCCAAAATGGGTTCTTGTAGATAATATACATCGACATCTTGTTTTTTTCATCCAATTTGACAATTTCAGTTTTTAACTGGTTGGTATACTGAGATCATTCACATTCAATGTGATTATTGATACAGCTGGATTAATATAAACCATCTTGCTAGCTTTTTTTCCCATTTGTTCCATCTCGTTTTTTGTTGTTTCTTTTCTCCTCCTTTTCTGGTTCATTTTGGGTTAAGTGTTTTAAATTGCATGTTCTCCTCTACTGACATTACTTATACTTCTTTAAAAACTTTCTCTAATAATTGTCCTAAAGTTTACAATATATATCATTAAGGAGTCACTTTCTACCTCCAAATAACAGTGCTTCAAGTGTAGTGTTAAGGACTTCATGGCAGAATATCTCCAATACCTCCCCTCTCCCATCTTTTGCAGCATTTTACATATGCTTTAAATGCAGAACACTGTTTTTGCTTTAGTCAGTTACCTTTTACAATTAAAAATAAGTGAAAAGTAGATTTGATTTTACCCTTCATTTAGTCTATTTTCAGTGCTTTTCATTTCTTTGTGTAGATCCAAATTTATGCCTGGTATCATATCATATTCCTTTTACCTTTAGAAATTCATGTAGCATTTCTTATAGATCTGCTGGTAATAAACCCCTAGTTTTTGTCTGAGAAAAATCTTTATATCCCCTCCACTTCTGAAAGATACTTTCCAGTAGGTATAGAATTTTGCACTGACAGTTTTTTCTTTGAAAACAATACTCTATTTTCTTATAGTGTGCATGGTTCCTGATGAAATGTCTACTGTAATTTTGATCTTTCATCTCTGTATGTAATCTGTCTTTTTTCTTCTACCTTCAAGATATTTTGTTTTTAGCAGTTTGAAAATGACATGCTGACATATGTGTTGGTTTTATTTTGTGATGGGTGTTTTTCTTTTTTCTTTTTTTAAATTATACTACTTGATGTTCTTTGGACCTGTAAAATCTTGGCCATTATTTTAAGTACTTCTTCTGGGATTCCAATTACTCATATGTTAGTTCATTTGATATTGTCCCAAAATTCTTAACATGCTCTGTTCTACATGTTTTTTTTTTCCTCTTTGTGTTTTAGTTTGTGTAATTTCTATTTATGCATCTTCAAGTTTACTGATTCTTTTCTTGGTTGAGTGCCCACCAAAGGCATGTACGTATTTATCCCGAGGATTTCGAACCCTTCCATTTAATCTTTTATGTTCCACCTCTGTGCTGATTACTCGTATAGCCTTGCCTACTTTGTCCATTAGAGCCCTTAATTCAGTTATTTTAAATTCTCCTTCAGATAGTCCCAACATTTGTGTCATAACTGACTCTTGTTCTGATGACTATTTTGTCTCTTGGCAGTTTTCCTTGCTGTTTTGTCTGCTTTATAATTTGTTGAAAACTGAACACTTTGTGTAGAACAGTAGAGACTGGGCATGCCTTCCTTCTGCTAGGCCTGTGTTTGAGTTAATCTAATTAAGTTTAGGCCAGGGTTGAAGTGTGTTGCTATGGTTTCACTCAAAGTCTTACAGCTTTTAAATTCCTCTTAGTGAAACTTTGTGTTTCAGGTGATGCTGGTTGGCTAGAGCACGTTTTCCCCCCACTACCGGCTCCACCTTCTTCTGGTCCTCCCTCTGCATTGTGCCTCAGAGAAGGTCTGTCTTGTGCCAGTTACTTGATTCGGTTAGCCAGTGCACCAGTATCCAGAGCACATGTCTGACCTCTCCCTGGAAGGTGCGTGTCTCCTCAGATTTAGGCCTGTTGGCTGCCCTGTAACCTCAGCACTCTGATGGATTCCAGAGGGAGCACAAGCTTGCCATGTGTCTGGCTTTTTTCCCTTTAAGTTTGGAATGGTGCTCATTCCAGCAGTCCCTCAGCAGAAACCAAAGCACTCTCACTCAATCAGTTCAGTTCATGGACCACCTTTTTCCCCTCAGGCACTGTATCACCTGAGAAGTGGAACTTGCAATTATCCTCAACTTCCCTAACTACTTGTCTGGCAGCTGGCACGGGTCTCTGTAGCTGATGGAGGGGCTTTACGTCTCTCTGGTGCTCCTTGTCCTTCCATTTCAACCTTTAAAATTTCCCTTCTTATCCTGTTTTAAAGCATAACCTAATCTTATAAGAAAGGTAAAAATATAAACTTAAAACCTGATATTCTTGTTGGCTCTGGCACCTTGTAAATATGTATACAGTGATCATTTAGTATTTTCCTTTTCATTACTGTATATCTCTACCCAATCTTTAATGTTTAGATTATAACATTTTTTGTTTTTAAGTTGCATACTTGTTTCTCTTAAGGAGTAATAAAGATTCTTTTCACTCATTCTTTAAACTTGTAGGTCTTAAAATGTTGATAAAATCAAGATGCCCAAGTAACACCAGCTCTCCAAAGTTACACCTAGCGGCAACAGATTTTCCTTCTCTCCCAAAGTCACAGCCTATGTGTGTTAGAGTCAATATAGCACATATCTAAGGAGTAGGAAATTTCCAGTCTCTAAAACAGCAGCATTAATACACAGGGTTAGCTATAGCTTACACTGTATAAAATGGTTAATGATGCAATTTTGATGTCAGCTTAAACATATAGCCTTCCAAACAACAGTACTGATGGTATGACCAGACCAATGGTAGATGATAAGAAACTGCATAAAGCAGGAGGGGAAAAGAGATTTCTGCTCTGAGAAAAAATACAGCGGTCAGGACGTAAAATTGTTGCCCCAGCCAAGGCAGCGGCGAGTAGCACTAACTGGACCAGACAACAAAGAAAACATTTACAAAATTTAGGTTTAAAATCTGCCCAAAGAATTACCTCCACCAGGACGCAAGATAATGATATACAGCAAGAAAAACATTTAAGATGAACTCTTTTGTAGAGAGGGGATCTGATGGTTTCAAGGGTTTTCAAGAAAAAGTTGTTATTTCTATCTTGTGCCCCTACATCCACAGGAGAAGAAACACAGGATGCTAAACCTCCCACCAAAGTGAAAAGAAAACCCTGAAGTTCAGGACTTGCTATGTCTGGAGGGCAGCCGGTGGGCTCCGAGTGCCATCACCTGCAGGAGCAGGAGTATGATTTTTTTGTTGTGTAAATCATGTCAAGTCCTGAAAAATATAGCTGCTATTATTATTATTATTGACCTTAGCGAAAACATCTCACCTCCACTGTGTAAAATACCCATGTCTGACAATGATAGAAACCATTAATAACATGAGGTACCTAAAACCTATAACAACTTCCAGAATTATATTACTATTCAGGGAGAAAAACGAAGGGAAAGTTAGCTAAATTAGAAGTTAATATAACTTGATCTCTACGTTATAGAACTTTCTTCTGCTATATAATGCAAGTAGGTTAACTTTTCAAAAATCACGTCAATTATCACGACTGACCCACTTCTATGGAGTGCTCCTTACCTCATATTCAAGAAGAGCACACATGTATCAAGAAAAAAGCCAAGTTCTTCATCCAATTTAGGTCATGAGTGTTCTCCATTTGTTTGAAATGACAGGAAGGGATTGATATTTTAATCTACTTTATTATCTGAAATGTATTCTAAAATTAACTGCTGGTTTACAGATAGCTCCTATGAGGGGACTCTATTAATTTTTTGGTATTATCGGAAACGTTGGTTCTTAAGTATAAGTGTACTGTAACTACGACCATTTAGTTTTCAGAATAGTATTTGCTGCTGCCATCATCATTATCACTATGATTATCCGGGCAAGTAAATATCAAAAGCAGCAGCAAAGGTTCATGGCTTCACGCTCGCGCTCTCTACACCTATGCGGAAGAGGGGAGATGTGGGAGGCAGTCCAGGGGCTGCCTGCTGACTCACCACCAAGCTGTCCTGTGCGCGTCTTCATCGCTTGCTTCTTTGGTGATTTGGTCATTGACTCAATGTACAGCTGCTGACCCAGATTTTTAATTTTGTTTACGCTGGCATAGACCTGCTGCAAAGTCAACTTAGGGAAAAGAATGATAAAATGTTTCAATATTATTTCAAAAAGTACACTAAAAGATACATAAACAAAATACATTTACAGACCATAACGACTACAAGCATAGTAATAATGTTAGTTTCCCATGATACTACAGTACATTAGTACTACAAGCATAGTAATAATGTTAGTTTCCCAAGATACCACAGTACATTAGTACCAGTGAAACTTTTAATAAGCCTGTTGTTCACAATGTGCTCATTTTTAGAAAGCACACAATTAACCCAAACATCACCTTCCAAAGCTGGTGCTTTCTCTTTACAGACATTTTCCCAGGCCAAAATGGATCAGGATGTCAACTGTCAGATAAGGTCTTCAAGTCAAGAACATACTAAGAAGTGATGTGTTGAGGTACAGAACTCGTACTGACACATCACAGGTAACAACACAGATTATGAAAATGACTCTGCACAGAAATCGTTTGCTCACTTACCGGTTCCTTCTGGCTGTCCTCCACGCAGTGCCCACTGGAGTCACTAGAAGATGCTATGCTGATGTGATGCTCCTGGGACCCACTGCTTCCCAGGCTCCCGTAGCCACTGGACGCACTCACGTGAACTGGCTGAAAGGAGGAGGAGGAGGCCCGCCCTGAGTTACTGGCTACATGGCAGTCAGAGGAGAGGTGCAGCTTTACCTGCCTCAGAGCCTGTCTAAACTCATCAGTAAACTATGTCTTAAATTTCTGAAATCCCAAGTTAGGTGTGGGAAGGTTGGTGCTTTTACCCTAATGCTGACATGAAAGACATTCCTCTCTTGCTCAGTAATGTTCAAGGGCAAAGGCTAGTTTTCTAGTGTAAGTGGGTATTTCTGGAGCAAAAAATTTGTAAAAAGCAATCCTATAATAATTTAACAAAATATGAAAAAGATAAACTCGTTCTCTGTGCTGAGTTTAGAATAGACACTACAAATGGAATAGACACCATATTTATCCCCAAGAACTTCACAGGTATTTTATGAACCCGACAGATTTTATGAAAGACATTTTGAAAACTACTGGGCTAACAGTTTTCTTTATTCTTTTTTTTTTTTTAAGGTTTTTTTATTGGGGCATTGGGGGATGGGAACAGCGCTGGGGAATTGGGGGAAGGGGAACAGACAAGTTGCTGTCGTTTTGTTCTTCAGTCTAGTTGTGGAGGACGTTGCTTCACTGGCCCAAGTTGGCACCATCATTGCGCTCTTCCCGGGCGAGGCAGATCAGTCGCTGGCTTCTGGACAGCCGTTTACGGCGGCTGCTGGCCACTCACGCTGGCTGCTGGCTACACACGGTAGCCCATGGCAACCCACTGCAGCAGGGGCTGCAGCCTACGCCGTCGCCAGTGACTCATGGCAGCCCAGCTCCAGGTTGAGCTGTTGTTCAGCATCTTAGCTGTAGAGGGCAGTGTCACTGGCCCTCATATGTGGGATCCAAACCGGGGCCCTCTGGCGTCCCAAGCCAGTTCTTAACCAACATGCCACTCGGCCGGCCCATGGGCTAACGGTTTTCTATGGCACTGTCAGTAAATACTTTACATGTTCATTGATTGAATCTCTAGTAGAAATCATTTTTGGCATTTGTTTTCATCAAGTAGATTTTCCTACTTTTGATTTATAATAAATAGAGATACTGACAATTGCCAAAATCCCTTTCCCTGACCTTCAAAATTGGAATTATTTTAAAAAATACAAAAGCCAAAACCCAGAGGTTGAGTACACTGATAGTGCTTGGAACCCAAGAATTCTCTCATTTAGAAATAAGTTGTCTTACTGGGACTCAGTTTTAAATGAGTTCGTACAAAAATTTTCCATATTTAACACAGAAAAAGGAAAACAAGATTAATAAAATGTAATTTAAAAACAAAAAAGAAGCGGGCAACTGGGTGGCTTGGTTGGTTAGAGCGTGTGCTCTTAACAACAAGGTTGCCGGTTCGACTCCCACATGGGGTGGTGGGCTGTGCCCCCACCCCACAACTAGATTGAAGGACAACAACTTGACTTGGAGCTGATGGGTCCTGGGAAAAATACACTGTTCCAATAAAGTTTAAAAAAAATTAAAAACAAAACAAAAAAGAAGACAAAAATTTCTGGAATGCAGAAGGTAAGGGTTTCTCTCTCCTTGCAGTTTATTTTTGTGAAGTGACTTTACTAAGACTGAATGTTAGAATGGAACATGATTACGGGAATTATGTGTGTGTTTTAAAAAATCTTTCATTTTACCTGTAAGAGAAGTTTGTGAATTTGTTCTTGTAATTCTGTTATGTCTTTGTCGTTATTGTTCATCTTTTTAATTCTGTTAGCAAAAACATCCTCATTGAGTGGACTTCTACAAGATACCAAGTGAAAGTCTGAGTCAAACAATTTAAAATGTATTTACAATGACGTCTGAAGTGATTTAACAGAATAGTCAATTAATAAATCTGCTTTTACTCAGCAACTCTTTTGATTCTAAATATAGAGAATATGAAGTTAAAATTCTATTCCGGAGGCCGAGAAAATATTAAACCAATGAGACATTAACAGACTTCTTCAGTTTCTCTGTAGTCCTAGACTTTCCACAATTGTCTCAGCACATTTGTATGAATCTAAAATCAGTGACAAGCGACCTTAGTTACTAAAGTATCTTCAGCAACTACTGGTCTCAAAATTTCACATTCACAGAGTAACCTGCTGCAGGAATTTTAACACTCTAAGTTTGCCAAATAACATTTAATTTGTTAAGTACCTAATAACGTCAGCTGTGTAGGAAACATGATTCCGCAACACACCCTAGTGGTGAAAATGTGGCTTCACAATACCCTGAAGCCTTATTTATCCTCATATCCTGGACTTCTGAACCTACTACCCGAGATTTAAATCTACAGTGAGAGAGGCAGGCATGTCAACAGGAAGAGTAAAAAAGCACAGAAGGGACCGACACTTACTCAGGACCTTCTAGGTGACAGACATTGTACTCGCTTTCTAATACACAGTAAGAATAACATTCTCTAAACCCTGATTACGTGCCAGGCACTGTTCCAAGTTAGCGGAATTTGATAGCAAAAGTCTGATGTTAAATGTTTTACATACTCACTAAAGAGAGCTTTAAAATTCCGAAAAGGAAAAAAAAAAATCTTATCCATAATCCTACTACCCCACACATAAGCAAAATTTATATTTGAATTTACTTCCTTCTAATCTTCTTTTTCATGTTTCATAGTTAGGGTATGTTTTAAACATAATTATAATTATATGGTATAATTTTATATGCTGATTTTTAAATCTAATATATCAATTTCCCATGCTATATAATCTCTTTAAAATTTTTTATTGACCAATATAATAACATGTCAGCAAATATTCCAGTTTACTTAATGATGTACATTTAAGTTATTCTAAGTCTGCTTTTATGATTATAACATTGCAAAATGTCTTTTCTTTATAGAGCTTTTCTGGATTTAGGCACATTTCCTTAGAATATGCCCCTAAGGGTATCATTAGGTCAAAGAGACAGAAATCTATTAAGGCTCTGGACATATTGCTAGACCTGTCTTCCAAAAAGCACTGAAGGAAAAAAAAAATTTCTGCGTTTTATTTAGTTCATGTGTTAACCGATTCAAAGTAGAGAAGGTGGACGAAGGAATATTATTTGGTAAAATGATTTTTTTAGAAAATGTGAAAACCGATGGACATACGTTCGAACTTTATGCCGACCGATGATAAAAGCAACCTTCCGGCTCCACGGGTTCACAAAGCTGGACCAACTGGAATCCAGGACGATGTAATCTCCGTTTTGAGTACAGAATCTAATGGGCGAATGTTCAAAGGGAGGGTGGCCTGCATACTTCAAGACTATGTAAAATAATAAGACGAAATTAGAACTCAATAGGTACTACAAGGGTCATTTTTAGGCATTTATTCATAAATTTTTAGAATGTAGTAGAAAAAACAATTGTTTTAGCACTTTCGATACATTGTTTGCCTGGTTAAAGGTTAAGCTCTAATGATTACAGTTTACAAGAAGCTCTAAGAAGAAATGAAATGAAAAATTAGATCAATGATTGAAAAACCCACTCCCTCCCATAAAGGAGGTCCTTACCTTTTTGGTGTATGGCGACCATCAGAGAACGGTCTTCTGGGTGCAAATACGTTAAGATAGACATTCCAACCAGGTCCTGAGGCAGGTATCCCAGCAAAGGCACGGCTCTGGGCGCAGACACAGCACAGGCAGCAGCGTAAGCATCGAGTAGCTTCTACACTCTACATGCTCTTACAAGCTACTTCTTTGTAATACTTTATTTTAAATATGGAAAAGGGTACACAAAGATGTTCATTAACAGCATCTGTAAAAGCGACAAATGACCAAAGTGCCCACACTGTGGGGAAACGGTTACATAATCTAAGAAATATTCTATCAGCGTCATCTATGGGACCTGCTGAAAAGCAGGTTCACAGGCTCACTGCAAGCTGGCTAAGCCAGGATTTCTGGGGTAAGCCCAGGAATCTATTTTTAACAAGTTCCTCGGAGGTCCCTGATGTTCCCCACTTTGCCGCCATTTAAAAGTCTACAGAGATCGTGTTGTAACAGAAAAACGCTTATGATGTGACATGGATACAGCGCATCACAAATTACACAGGATGATGGGGAGTGTACTAAAACGATGTGCCCCGAAAGGCAGTGCCAAGCAGACAGGCAGCCTGCACAGCAAGACACCTGCAGGGCAGCGGCTCACCACGAGCTGAAACCATAAACACCCCTGTGTGTACAAGCTCACAAATGTTTTCTGATGGGATAAATTTCAGCTATTTTCAGAATATCTGTGGTTAAATTTTCTTACTTTCTACCGATTGTATTATACAGAGCATCTCACCAATTACTGTTTAGTTTTGGGGTAATTATTAGTAAATAAACCCATTTTAAGATGTTAAGATTTTAAAAAAATCAAAATTAATACCTATCCTAAGCACGCCAGGTTTTGGACATTTGTGCTTTACACTTATTGTGGTGCGGTGTTTGTTTCCCAGATTTTGAAATTTCATGACTAAGTAAAAATTTTAAATAAATGTGGGGAAATGGAGGGTACTGGTCGGGATAGCAATATTTTATTTTTCCAAATAAAGATATGAAGAAAACAATAAGCACCAACTACTATCTACTACTACTATTCTTTAAATAAGAAAGACTATTTTAACACCTAAAAGAATAGAAAGGACATAAGTTCAAAACAAATAACGATTTTTTAAAATAAATTTAGTTTCACACACACAAAAAGAAATCTTTTTTTTTCCTCCCTTCAGACAAAAAAAAAAAAAAATCATCACGAACTGGTTTGAGAAGCACTTGTCTAGTGGAAATAACACTGGAGCAGGTGCCAGGAGGCCAGAGTCGTGGTTTCCCTTTGAGTACAATTATGTAACACATAAGCTCCTGGCAGACTGGGCCCAGGCTCACTGCCCTGTGTAAAATGGGACAATAATTCCTGGCTTACCTAAAGCAGACTGCTGTGATATCAAATAAAACTTGTAAGTCTTAGAAGTATAACATGCAAGACACTGACACTAAAAATTTAGACAACACAAATCATTTCAAACTAACAAAAATCAAACAGGCAAATAGACAGACATCAGGTTTGCAATATAGATGTATGTAAGCATATGTAAACCTTTTCATATTTTTACTTATTTTCCAAAACAAGTTTCTTTCGTGCTTACAGAAGTCCTTACCTTTCGTCTATTTCAAGAAAAACACACCCTGGAGTGTGTGTTGTGGTAAAAATTCTTTTATCCACTGGGATTCGAGGAGCTGTGGAAACAGAAAGATTCATTTAAAGGCAAATATCATTAACCATCTACTAAAGTAACCACTAACAAAATTTCTGTATGAAATTAATGTAATAGTTAAACCTGGAGTAACTTAAGTTCAGGGCTAAAAAATTTAGTCATATTTAGTGATTGTATATAACTAAGCATATAGGGTTTGTAATATCAGTATATGAACACTTTTAATTTGTGTAATAAAATTGGCATGGTCAGTTCTGTTGCAGCTGGCATGGAAAATGTAGTGATTAACCCATGAGGGGACAATTTGAGCATAATGCTAATTTTGCATTTGCTTATGCACGATTTCATTTCCAAGAAACATGAGGTGAATGCAGAGAACATCTAGCTAAGTGGCGTCGCTGAGGAATGCACAAAAGCATGCACACACCTTCACACCTGTCTCTGCCTTGATGCACCGCGTGCGCTGAGAGACAGGCCTGTACCACCGATGTTAGAACTTCCCATCGGGTTTCAGACGCCCTGCCTTCCAACGCCTGCAATAGCTCAGGAGCTGCAGCCATTGCAACACCCACATTATACACAAACTGCAGGCTTTCCATGGTGAGGAGCTCTATTTATGGTCGTGTTTGTGTATTTCTTAACCATTCCATATTTAAAACTGGATTATCATTTTTATTAGAACCCTGTCTTATTTGTAATGTGTGGTTGAGTGCTGTACCCAACCTCATTTTTCCTATAAGCCCTGTGGTTTTATTGTGATTTTTTTTTTTTGTATAGGATGATCCATTTTAGAAAAGCATATGCAATGTTATAGCAGAACTGAGTGTAATTCCAAGTGATAACAGGAAGCTGTTTCTGTATTAATATGTGCATGTAAAAATGTAGTTCTGCCATCAGAAGACATAAACTACACTGAAAATTTACATTTAGACACAGTAAAAACCTGGCCGTTTCAAACATAAATTCATTCTTGTGACCTCGCTGTGCAACTTCAGCACCTATTTCCCACAAGACAGAAGCAAAGGCCACAAGATGGTTGCCGGTGGAGAAAGGATTAGAGCTCCGATTACCTGTGGCCAGTCCACGCTGTGGCCCTTGAAAAAGAGGCCTGCACAAGAGGACCTTGGTCAGTGAACAGGGACAGCAGGAAAACAGTTGCAGCCGCCCAGAGCGCAGGGTCACGCTGAGGGCCCAGGCATGCCTGTGTCCATGCCGGCTGGCCGCAGGGACAGGCTGTCGGGCGCCTGCCTGATGGGCTGACAGGTTGCCCCTGAGCCCACAGCGGACCCTCCAACTTACCTTCGTAACCAGAATGAATCTTCTCAGCCAGGGTGAGACAACAGGGCTCAGCTTCCGGTCGGGCGGAGCCGCGGACGTGAATCAAATAGGGGATGATGCGGAAAGGGTGGTAGTGCTTCTGCTCCGCGTCCTCCCCTCCCCTGCAAAGAGTAAAAATGGTCGGTGCTGGTCCTGATGCATCCAGCGAGGCCACCGGAACACACGGCTGGGGACAAATGCCTTACCCGGTCGTTCCCGAGAGATGTCTTTATTTCAAAAAGAAGGGAAACTTTAAATGTTCAATACCCAAGGGCAATTATACTCATTTGTTATGCAATGAACAGGTTGTTTATGGAGAACGGGCTTAGATTACTGGGGGTGTAAAAAAACGTAACAGCTTTTCTCCTGACCTCCCTGCCTAACCCAGTCTGATTTTCCTGCTCCTGCTGTGAAGAGGGACAGGCCTAACTGCGCGCCTCACACGCAGCAGAACGCTAGGCTCCCTGTGATCATGTGCCAAGCTCTCCGCTGTCCCTTCCTATACTCTCCGAGGACTGATTCATCTCATCGCTTCGGCTGAAGCCACCACACGGACTGGCGGTGGGCGGTCAAGCACTCCGAGGCTCCTGGCTGGGGAGGGAACACCGCAGGGCTGGGCCCTGCCAGCCCCCCCAACCCCCCATTTTCTCATTCCCACACAAGCTCTCTAGGTAGGGTGGCTCTGATGAATCACTACCAAGGTTTTCACCGTCTTATTGCTCCAGCTGCCCAGCGGACATTTCTACTTGGACATGCCACTATCCCCTTAGAGTCAAAATGTCCCGACTGAATTCATACCTGCCCATTCCTAACAACCATGCCTCCTCTTCTCCCATCGGTGACACGGGATTGTTGATCCCAGTGGGGCCTGAGCTGCCCAGAGGGTCTGCAGCCCGCGCCCCATCTCGCGTTCTCTTCGCTCCGCACAGCCAGTGTATTCTCACGCTTCTCCACTCTCAACTGTGACCTTGCTTCCGCTGTCACTGGGAAATGAGTGCCTTCTCCTGACCGACAAGCATCTGTCCTTGTACTTCCAGCTCCCTTCCCAGTTTTGTAAATGACTTTCCCAGGCTCATCTGTGCGCTGATGACCTGAGTGTCTCTAGCCTGGATGCCTCCCCTTAACTCCAGATTCACGTATCAAGGCCCAATCGACATCACATTTTATTGTGAAAGTAAAATTAAGGTTAACATAACATTAACTTATCAGTAAATTTAGAAGGAAAAAAAACCCTGAAAAGTCCTGCCAGAAATCAACTCCTGTTAAAATTTTGGTCTACTTTCTTCTAGTGTACTGTCTCTGGACCTTTTAAATCCTTCTCATAAATATACCTATCTTGCTTTCTCTAAAGTTACTCAAAATTTCAAAAATTAACTTTAAATGTGACCAAACAACAAAAAGGAAGAAAACAGACACAAAAGAGACCCAAACACTGGTCATCTGAAAGTGTACTTGACCTCCAGTGATTCTGACACGCCCCTGGGTTAAAGTTCTCTCTCATCTTTTTTCCTATTGCGTTATCTACTTTTGTCATGAGGATATGTTTCTTCCCCTCAACCAAAATACAAACTCCTTGTGGCAAGAAGCCAGTCTTGTCTTTTGTATCCACAACAGACCAAGATGACTAGAAGAGAACCAAATAAGTGCTAAATCAAATCAGAGCAAGGTCCCGCCTCGGCCCCCACCAGCCCCTGCACTTACCGGATTCTACAGAAGAAGGACTTCACTGGAGCGTACTTGTACTGGGACGCTGCTGGGGACAGAGACACACTGTCACTCATCCCACCCAGAGAATCCCGCAGAGCAGCCCTTCCATAGACAACGGCGCAGTCACCACAAACAATAAACAATTTTTCCCAAGAGGCACTCTTGATTAAAACAGGACCCTTTCACCTCACTGGGAGATCCAGTCCAGTCCATGGCTTCCCTACGCTAACAGTCACCCTCCAGTGACACAGTGAGCGTCCCCTTGGTGCTTCCCCTTACTACTTCCTGTCGTCCCTTCTGTTTCTGCAACTGCCCGGCCCAGTCATTACTTCATACGTCAAAGTAATAATTCTTTGACAGTTATTTTGGTGGGGATATTCTATTCCACAGCGATAGTCTGGACATGGCTCAAAAATGGAGAAATTTAGACTATTTTCAGGTATATGACATACAATTTTCTCTCATTTTTTCCTTTCCTCGGATAAAGTGCCCTAAGTTGTGTTCCTGGTTAAATGATATAATCATTTATGAATCTCATCGTGTGTTGGCAAACTAATGTCCAGAAGATTGTGCCAGTTGACAGTGTCATTAATCACATTCTCTCACAACCCTCGTGCCAATGGTTTGCATCAGTTTTATTGATTTTTGCATTAATATTATTGACTTATGAGGCGGTCATTCAGACATGTTTAAATTTGCCTATCTTAGGGCAGATTAGGCTGAACCTCTTCCCAAGTATTTCCTGATTATTTGTATTTCCTCTGGTTAGAGGTCTCTGAATAGACCTTTCGGGCATTTGTCCACAAAAATCCTCAGTTACAGAAGCCAAGGAAATGCTTAAAACCAAGATATTAAATACACACCGAAGGAGCATAAATAACAAAAATGCTAAAGAACCAAAATATTGAATATGGCCCAGGGCTTGGCACTTCGAGGGAAGGATCACAGGAACAATCAGGAAAGGGCTTTCGAAGGATCAAGGACAATGTACAGGAGGTAAAAAAAAAAAAAGATTCCAGTTTAAAAGTAAAGGGACCAATGATCAAACTATCAAAATTCATGAAACTATCAAAGTCACAGTCCCAGAATTCTGAAACCTGAAGAGTTCTTACAGTGTGCCTGTGAACAACAAATGAAAGAACTGGACTGAGTAAGCCTCCAGGATTTCTCTCTAACATATGCTCCAGTCCCAACACAGACACCGCCTCAGTAAAGGCTTAAACTCAGGGAGGAATTGGGGCAAGACGAGGATGTTTCAAAAACATCCTTCATTTCCCGAGATGATTTTTATGGACAGGAACCAGATGTCGGTGCCACTTTCAAAGGCACGCCTTTGTGTGGTGACAGTTCTGTAAGACAGTAACAGTCCCAGGGAGTCATGCAGCCAGGAGGGCAGAGGTTAAGAGCAGGGGCTCTGGGATCACCCCGCCAAGGTGAAATCCGGCTCCACACTTATTGGCAGTGTGACCGTGACTCAGTAACTTAGTAACTTAGTTCTGTGCTTCAGTGACAGTGGTGGCTGAGAAAGGGCACGGCTCCTGGCTTCAAGGGACCGAACTTCCTGCGGGCTGCTCTCAGCCACTGCCTGTGCACAGAGTGAGTACTGAGGCAGGACCGTTCTGTGGAGACGCAGGACTCCCCCAGGGCATGACCGTGGCCTGGCCTTCCCTTTGGCTGCCTGGCCGCGCTGTCCGTTGAGCTGTGCTGCAGGCCGACTGCTCCCCGCCCCGTCCTCCTCCCTTCTCGCTCCTTCCACAGGTGTCAGTCCTGCCCTGTGGGCTGAGGGCTCCTCTCACCTTCTCCTCCCCCCTCCCCCCAAGTCTCCTGCACAGCTGATCCCATCTTGGCATCTGCCTCTGGACCGCCCAAACTAACAGCCAGCCTGATCTGTCCATCAGGGATGACAGGAGGATCTACGCCTCACGAGGTTCTGGGGAAGATTCACTCGCCCAGTGAATCCACTAAGACATTAAGAAGAGTCCGTCGCAAACAGTGCCCGGTCAACAGAGAGCGGTGACTACGATGCCTCTTCATGCTGCGGAATGCTCCAGGTCTTGAAGGTGCTTTCCCACCCACTCGACTGCTTGATTCTCCCAGCAGCCGTGTCAGCAGGCTGGCCAGAAACTGCTCCTCTCATCGACAGAGAGAAGCTAAGCGGCCTCCACGGCTCATAAATAAAGGGACAGGACTCAATTTAAGACTCAGTCCTCCCAATTCCTAGCTTAAAATTCTCTGCACACAGAAAATAACGCAACTCTACCGTGAGGTCAACTTGCTCACACGATTCGTACATTACATCAGGCACCTGAGTTCAACGACCTACGAGGAGTCTCCTAACGGAGAAACACTCTGTGAGCTCAAGCAGTAGACGTGAGCCCATTAGCATTTGCACACCCCGGCTGGAATGTGCGGTTCTTGGTTCTGGGAGTGTGTTCTAAAGAAACAGTGCTCAAACCCTTCTGAGAGGTTGCACGACAAACGAAAAGCTGAAACACGCTCTAACTCAGGGCCAAATGCTGACAACCGCTGAGCTGACAGCTAGCTCCCTAAATCCTTGTAATGTCCTCTGAGCTCAAGGGAAGGGACAGGAGGAGGAACATGTCAACCCCCACATGGTGTGGGGCTCAGCGAACGCTCTCAGGAAGAGTCTGAAGCCTTGAGGTTCAGGAGGCAAAAGCACAACGCAAGGCGTGAACGAGATGGATAGCATGTCTTTATAGAACGAGTCCATTTTGGGGTTTAAAAGACAACAATTCCAGGGTGCATGTTTTTACATGAAGGAAAAGTACACAGCAATAAGCAATCAGCAAAGATAAAAAGGTTGGAAAGAGAAGACAGTGTCTCTGCAGGCAAATGTGAAGGAGAACCCCAGGAAATGGGGGGGGGGAACGGACCATGTCTGCTCTGCTCACAGTTGGGTCTTGGCATCTAGAACGGGTCCTAGCCCACAGCGATTGCTGAATAAACGCTGATGGAATGAATAAGTGATTAAGAGATGCGGAGAAACAAATACAGACAAGGAAAGGTTGGAAATACATGTTTAAGGAGGAGGAAGGGGAACGAAATCAATGTTTCTGAGTGATGGGAACACAAGAGAGGGAGCTAGAAGCAAGCAAGGATGATAGGCACGTTTTCTGAAGCTCAGATAAAACGTGCACAAAAGGGGGGGTAAAGGCCTATAACTGAAAAAAAACAAGTGTGCAAGACTGTTCTTCCCCAGACCAAGTACTGGATTAAAAACTCAGAATGGATACAGAGTTTAGATTTTCAAGAGGACAAACTTATGAAGATCTGTGTCACAGCAACGTGAACGTACTTCACGCTCCTGAACTGTACACTGAAAAATGCTTAAGATGGTCAATTTTATTAATGTGTTTTTCGAAAATTGAAAAAAAAAAAAAAAGAAATTTTTTTTAAAATTAGAGATTTAAAGATCACACAGGACTGATTGTGACAAAGGAAAATAAGCATTTCAGAAGAAAAAGTAATTGGATTCATGAGCTTCTCGGGACAAGAAAAACTGGAAAAGAAAGCTAACCATCAGAAGTTTATCTCCAAAGCAAAGCAAAGAAATAATGAAGTCAATATAAGAGGAAAAACATTGAATTTTATTACATTAAAGGAAACAGAACCTGCCTTTATAGCAATTAGCCTGCTATACAGTATCCTGGTGATCAAACCAAATTTATGACCTGTACACTATCTTGACTAAATGAAAGCAAATTTATTGGATCTCTATGCTACTACAAGCATTTCAGGTGCTATTTTCATCACATTCTGCTTTTTAAAATAAATAAATAAGTCATAGAGTTTGCAAACTATTTTCATCACATCCTGCTTTTTAAAATAAATAAGAAAACCCATGTAGCTCTACGTAATGCATTAATTTCTGAGCTATTTCTGGAAGAATGAAACTGTGCTTGATGAGGCACGATAAACATCTGAATATTGGTCCTGTTACCTCTTTGGGTCCAGTTGTTCCAGAAGGGGAGCTGCGCGTGGGCAGTGTGTGTGTAGAACACCCTCACATCTTGAGGGGCAAGCAGTTCAACAAAATGAGAGGACTCCAAGAAATCTTTCTTACAATTCAGGATTGAAGTAGCCTGTTCAGAAATGTGCACTGACCTTCCAGACAGAAATGAAAAAACCGCCACAAAGGTATCCTATGGAAAACATTCAAATAAATGCAAATATTGAGATACTTACGCGCAATGTTCCCTGAAAGGTCAATTTCTTCTAGACTTCTACCATGAGCAATAGTTTAAAACACACACACACACATCCTGCAAAGGCAACAAAACTCTCCAATGTACTTAATTATCACCATAAAACCTGCATTTTATTTTCTGAAGGCTTGATTTCTATGCCAAAAAATATGCCAGCTCATTCTACTTTGACTAAACACACCCATACCCCCCCCCACACACACACACACACTTCTGATTCCTCCTCCTTTACACACTGTGCCTTCCACCTAGTGGGACTTTCTTCTCTTCACCAATGCACATTCTAGGCTTCAAGACCAAGGTCACGATTCCCGTCCAACACGTTGTCTTTAACAAACCTCGTTATAAGAATCATGTCTCTAAAGTGTTGCATTAGATATAAATATAACTTTGTTATCATCAACCACTGTTTCTGTCTACTAGCATTGGCATATGTTTTCTTCTTCAGCTTTATTCTGAAGATCTTCAAGGGGAAATGTTTTCTTAAACTTTTTTTTCCCCTAAAATCTCCATAGCACCTATTACGGCACTGTGAACACACCAGGTAATAATAGAAACACTACTGTAATATTAGGGAGAGCTTATGTTCCAATATTATAAAATCTTTACGTTATAATTATGTGGAAGCCTAAACATAAAATTAAGTAATCTCCATCGTATCCACAAAACATGAGGCTTAATTATTCTGTCAACATGAAGAGATTCAAAAAAGATATACTAAATGTCTCTTCCAAAATTTTATAAAAAGGACAGCATCTCAACTCACCTGTTCTATAAAATCCAGTTGTTACAACGTGAAGTAGTAGGTATTGGAACTAAGAATGATATAAATGGAAATTAACAATTCGGAGATTAGAATAAGATGCAGGAAATTACTCTGCGGTGTTATCTTTTTCTCTTAGTTTGAGAGAACTCAGGGATGCTAAGGAGACAAAGGCACCTCATAACTGATGCAAAGCAAACCACCGCGTATCGCAGCTTCCTATTTTCAGATGTTTTTTTCTCTGGCAAGGGCAGAGACTACACCGTGCCATGTTGGCACTTTTCTCCTAATTGTTTGCCTCCGTCTGTGGTTACTGAAACTCTGCATTCTTATCTTAAAAACCTACATCTAGGTACAGCTGTTAAGAAAAATCACCCAGGTTGAGATGGCAAAATTAGTGAATTCTTACTGTGTTTTTGGAAGTGTGCTCTGAAGCAATAGTGGCCAGCTCCTCAAGGCTGTATGTGGTCACATCTGCTTCAGGTGCTCCATTTTGACTGAGAATCTGGAAAAACTCACTGTTTGCTAAGAAACACAGGGAGATAAACAGGGAGTCCAGTGAAAACAGTATCTTTAGGAAGTCATTTTTGTCACTACTAAAGCTGGCTTATTTTATTTTATTTTTAGGATGAGGACACCTCAGTGTTTTTTCCTCGAAACCAGGTCATTTTCTTCTTTCGCCTAAAATGCAGATAGTTGTGCAAACTTAAGATTTTGAACTTTATGAATCCTGCATGTTCTAGATTCCAAGAAGCAAGATACATTTAAGGTACTAAAACCAAAAATTCCAAACACACACACAAGACATTGTTATGGCAGAAACATGACTCCAGTATTTGGGAACCACGTGTCATATATGAAGCCACAGGGGTTTGTGCTAGAGAGTGTGCACTTTACAAAATCCTGAGAAGTCAAGAGGTAAAAAGGAAAAAGTGTTTGCAGCTGTTCATCTTTAATTTGGTAAATTCTTGATAGAGCACGACTGCATTTAAAAAGTATGTGTATGACGGGGTAAGGTAAATTTTATTTTGTCAAATGTATTTTCCCCCCCTCATATCCGTAGAAGACAATGCTCCTTTGAAATGCGAGTCTTCAAAATGTGCTTATGCTAACCTCTGCTCACCTGCAACAAACCAGCAAAATACTGCAGTTACTAACCTATGATTATACAAATAAGGCTCTCCTGGCGCCCCTACTTTGGAAAACAAAGGCACTAATGGAATCAGTATAGATCTGCTCCTCTGGCATCAAGCATCATAACAATCTCAAAACGTTTCTGTGACTAAAAGCACACTGACAGCTCGTGTGGCCTGGCCCACGTTTCTGAGCGCCGGTACTCGCACGACTGTGTTCTCCCCAGCTCCTTTACCTTGCACACTGTGGACACAGCGCAGCGCATAGTTGAGGGCATCTAGAGTGCTGGGTTTATTGTGCCTCTCTGATGGGAAGTATTTTTTCATTTCTTGAACAACCATGATAAGCTCTTCAGAAACTCTGTTTCGCTCTTGCTGTTCACTGTAAGATAAAAAGCAACTCCACGCTTTCAGTTACAACAGCCAACTTTTATTGAACAGCGTACTGTGCGCTAAGCAACTTTCTAAGTGCTTAAGGAACACGTGTCAACTCATTTAGCTCACAGGTTGATCCCTTTTTTACAGGTGGGGGAAGCGTCAGACCTTTTCCACTCTCTCACTCCCACTTCAGCCCCAACTCAGTTAAATTCCTTAACTGCTTTTTAACTACTTCTGGAGCTCTAGTAATTTTCTTCAGTTTCCCAGGGCATTTCATTCAAAGTGTCCCCCTAAACTCTCTCCTAGGCTTACAAACAAAACAAATAGATTTAAACCCTCCTTTCCCTTTTACTACTTCCGTAAAGAACAACAAACAAATCAGGTTGTAAGTATCACCTGTTGCCGCTCTCCAGGTATTTGCTCTTTAGTTGATATTTCTGGCTCCACATCTCGTCCGATTCCTTCCCCAGGGCCTCAGTACCTCTGGCCCGTGGTCCTTCAAGTTCCTTAAGTTCATTCCCCCTGGAGTCCTGAGATTTTCCGCTGGACATTTCTAGGTCTTCACAGGGGTCCATCTTTCGCTCAGCAGTCCTTAATCTGTTGCCTGCCTCTTTCTTACTTTGCAATCAGCGACAAAATTTTTTTTCTCATTTGCGTCCATGCCATTGTATTAGAGAAAAATATCAGTCATCACAAACCGGCAATTACTCATCTCTGCTCATGTGAAGGCACTTTTCTCTCCAGTGTTTCCAAACAATCTTGGATGTCTCCACTCACTGGCGGTCCAGCCTGGGGGTGGGGGGAGACAGAGGTGACAAAAGTCAAGTGCAACGGACAATACAATGCTGGAAACCGGGCTGTGACTCGCCGGCTGGGCAGCCCTGGGGAGGACCCTGAGCCCGGGCGGTCACAAAACCAGGCTCGGATTCACCCACTTGCCCACCGGCAGCTCTGCAAAGTCTGCGTGCACCCAGAAATGGGACTCGGGGAAGGGGGCAACTTTAAGCGCAAAGTTCCAGGGACCCCCGGTTCCCGATCCGGTGCCACCCCGCCTCCAGTCCCAGAGTGGAGGGCGGGCTCGGGGCAACCTCCAGCCGCGCGGCCGGCGGGTTCCGAGGCCTCCCTGCCCGGCCCGAACACTCACCCGCTGCAATCGCCGCCGCCACTACCGCCGTCAGCAAGCCCCTCACGCAACTGCTCACCAGGTCCCGCCCGGCGGCGGAGTCCCGAGGCCCGCCGCGTGCCGGGTAGCCGCCGGCGCCGCGCCCCCCTCACGCCACGTGACGCGGCTCCGCCCCCGGGCCTCACGATTGGCCACCGCTGCCTGCTCTGCGAGCCCCCATTGGTTCGGAGGCGGGCCCCGAACTGGGGCTCCCAGATTACATAACCGAAGGCGAGTGGGCGGGGGCGAAGGTCCCAGAGCGCCTTACATAATAACCGGGCTCGGGCGGAGGGCGGCGCTCGGCCAATCCCGGCCGTCCGGCGTGTAGGCTGTGGGCGGAGGGGCTCCGAGGAGGCTCGAGCCCTGGCCGCGCGAGCTAGTGCTCGGCCCCCTTCACCGCTCCGGAGGACGGGCCGCGGTGGCTGCTGGAGCGAGCACGGCAGTGATAGGGCGTTCCGTCGGCCACTTATGGGGAGGCGGGACCCTGGCGGCGGGGGTGGGCGGGGCCGGAGCGGCCTCCACGTGAGCGGCTGCGGGGCGGGGAGCCAGGAGCAGGTGGCTGGGGAGTGGGGAGCGTGCTGAGGGGGGCTGGCGAATGGGGATCCCTCTGGGCAGCCGGAAGAAGGCGCTGGACGTTCGAGCGCGTTCTCTGCGTCTTCTCGGGCTCCCATCTTTCTTAACCTTGCTCTCTGTCCCGCCAGATCTTTGGGTGAGGGGCTTGGAAGACCCCGGCGGTAGAGCTGCCCGGGAAGAGTCGAACCTTATTTTTAGAGACGGGATTTTGATGGCGGAATTGAAACATTTCCTTGGTCTCCCTAAAGTTACAGATTCACTTCGCAACTGGAGGGAGACAAGTGTATGTAAAAGGCACTCTTGTTTCGGGAAAGGAAGGTGTAGAGAAACCCTTTTAAAAACACCAGACTGAAGGCTCTTTTTAGACTACCAGCTCATCCGAAACGGAAGGCACAGTGCAGAGCGCCACCCCCACCCCCACCCCGTGCCTGTACATCCACAAGCTTCAGTATTTGTTGGGTGAATGAAAGGAATTGCATATAAGGGGGGGGAGAGGGGAGAGAAGTGACGTGTGCCAATTGTTCATGTCAGGTATTGGATAAACCACCGTAGTTTTCCAAATGATGACAGATCTCTCCTCTGAAGCTCTGATTTTTCAAACTGCATCCATTCATTCAACAAATATTTATTGAGTGCATATCTGGGTAGGGAAGATTGTGGTCCCTGGGGATAGAGTGGTGGCAAAAGTTCCTGCCACTCAAGGAGTCTACATTTTATTGACATAAAACATATGAACGGGGTGACCGGTTAGCTCAGTTGGTTAGAGCGTGGTGCTGATAACACCAAGGTTGCCGGTTCAATCCCCGCATGGGCCACTATGAGCTGCGCCCTCCTTGAGTCAACTATGCCATTGTAGCATGAAAGCAATGTGTAACCAATGAGCATGGTTGCTCCCCAATAAAATTAACAACAAACATGAACAATTTCATAAAGTAAGTTCAGAAAGCGGAAAGTGCTGTGTAGAACACGAAACAAGCGAGTGGGATGAGGAGTAACAAGGCCAGGTGAGCAGGCTGAAGGAGGCAATAGGCACATTGGCCAGCCCTCAGGGAAGGCCTTCCTGAGAAGGTGAAATTGAAACCTGAGTGTGAGCAGAGGGAAAGCAACTTGCAGAGTCCCCGAAGCAGAGCAGGTTTGTTGTTGAGAAACGGAAAGTGTATACTTTGCCAGGAGGATAGAGAGGGAGCAAGAATGGTGCAAGGTGAGGTCATGGGGTCAGGAAGGGCCAGATCATGGTGGGCCTTGGAATTAGGGAAACGGATTTGGATTTTTTTCTATTAGTAGTGCAAAGAGGAGAACTGCAGGCGAGACAGTCATTTGTGTCTGTCAGACTGCTGCACAGGTAACAATTAAAAGAGGAGGCTGATGATTATAAGAGGGCTGAGGATAGCTTGAGCTGGGGGGTGGGGGGAGGCGGGGACGACGGGGGAAGCTGCCTGTAAAGGTGTTGAGAGCAGAGACTGGACTTGGGATTATTTGAGGCCACAGAGCCTTGCCAATGAATTGAATATATTGGGAGAAGCAGAGAGCGATCAAGGGTTACTCCTGGGTCTGGTTTAAGCAGCACTGCACAGGATGCGACATAAACTTAGATGGGCAAGTCGGGGATGGTATGTTTTAATGAAGGGGAGATCGAGAGTTACGTTTTCACATGTTATGTTTGCGATGTGCATTACACATCCAAGTGGAGTTGTCCAGGTAGGCAACTGGACTTCCCAGCCTGGGACTTAGGGGAGAGGCCAGGGAGGGTGCTACGGCTTACATTTGGGAGTTGTCAGCGATGCAGTGAAACACTATCACTGAGAGAGAATGCAGACAGAGGGAAACAGGTCAAAGGCCGAGATCAGGGGCACAGGGAGTTTTGGAGGTCCAGCAGGGAGCAAGCAAAGAATAAGGAGCAGGAGGTAATGTTGAAAGAAAACTAGAACAGTGGGGGTCACGGGAGCTGGTATTTCAAGGAGGGAGTTGGCAACTGTATCAAATGCTGGTGAGAAGCAGAGTAAGTAAGCCAAGGGCAGAACATTTCCTGTTGGAGTTGACCAAGATGCTGACTTCAGTTGGTGGTTGGTGACTTTAGTTACAGATGTCTTAGTAGTATGTGGGCTGACTGAAGAAGCAGTGGGCCGTGAGGCTGTGACTATAGGTAGGAATTTTGCTGTGAAGGCCTATAGATAAGGAATTGTTTGCTGGGGGAGGGCTCACTGGTACCACCTGTTAGATGGGGTGACCCAGTGAGCAGGGAGAAGGGTAGGATGCAGGAGAGAAGCGCTGCGGGAGGGAAGGCCCTCGTTTGGGCGGGGAGCAAAAACATTGGGCAGAGGCAGGGGCTTCTGTTAACAGGTATGGAGGCAGGAGAGGACTGGGTGTGGTCTTGTCGGTGTAAAGGCAAGTAGGAGATTTTTAAATGTACTTAGAAGACTTTTAAATGCTTGCTACTTACAGGGTGAGAAAAAAAATTATTCTCTAATAGTTGTGCCATAATTGGTTTATTTAGTAAATTGTAGTTTTAGTTTTTCAGGTTAGGCTTTCTGCTAGTATGAAAAGCAGCTCAGTTGTAAATAAAGATGTTTATTTTTAAATACACTAAGCAATCTGGTCCGTTTATTTGAACTCTTTTGAAATTTTTCTTGATATCTGGTGTTGAGAATTTTGATAAAAATATTTACTTATTTATTTTTTATTTAAGTATAGTCAACATACACTATTAGTTATACTATTATATTTCAGGTATACAACACAATGATTTGACACTTTTATACCTATAATGTGATCACCCCGCTAAGTCTAGCAATCATCTGTCACTGTGCAAACGCATCACAGTATTACTGACTGCACACCCCTTCACCTTTTCCACCCATGCCCCACCTCCTCCCCTTGGGCCACTATCCCCTTGATCTCTGTTTCTATGAGTTTTTGTTGTTTGTTCGTTTGTTTAGATTCCCCATATAAGTGAAACCATACAGTATTTGTCTTTGACTTATTTTACACCCTCTAGGTCCATCCATGTTGTTGTAAATGGCAAGATTTCATTCTTTTTTATGGCTGAGTAATATTCCATTGCATATATGTACATCTTTTGTAGCCATTTATCTATATGGACACCTAAGTTGCTACCATATCTTAGCTATTGTAAATAATGCTTTAATAAACATAGGGTGCATATATCTTTTCCAATTAGTGTTTTCGTTATCTTGGGATAAATACCCAGTAGTGGAATTGCTGGACTGTATGGTAGATCTATGTTTAGTTTTGTAAGGAACCTCCATACTGTTTTCCACAGCGGCTGCACCAATTTGCAGTCCCACCAACAGTGCATGAGGGTTCCCTTTTCTCCACACCCCGGGTCAACCCATTATTTGTTGACTTTTTGGTAATAGCCATTCTGACTGATGCAAGGTGCTGTCTCATTGTGGTTTTCATTTGCACTTCCCTGATTAGTGACGTTGAGCATCTTATCTGTTGGCCATCTGTATGTCCTCTTTGGAGAAATGTCTCATCATGTCTTCTGCCCATTTTTATCAGATTGTTTATTTTTTTGTTATTGAGTTGTATGAGTTCCTTGTATATTTTGGATATGAACCCTTATCAGATATATCATTTGCAAATATATTGTCTCATCCATATGTTATCATTTTGTCTTGTTGATGGTTTCATTTGCTGTGCAGAAGCTTTTTAGTTTGATGAAGTCCCATTTATTTTTGCTTTTGTTTATCCTGCTTGAGGGGACATATCCAAAAAGATACCACTCAGACTTATGTCAAGTAGTTTACTACCTGTGTTTTCTTCTAGGGGTTTTATGGTTTCTGGTTTTACATTTAAGTCTTTAATCCATTTTGAGTTAGTTTTTGTATGTGGTGTAAGAGAGGTCCAATTTCATTTTTATGCATGTATCTGTCCAGTTTTCCCAGCACCATTTATTGATGAGACTGTCGTTTCGCCATTGTACATTCTTGCTTCCTTTGTTGTAGATTAGTTGAAGTCTGGTCAATTTTAAAGCAAATGATTAATCCCCACTCAAAACCAATAAAAAAATATCACCATACTTAAATTTTTTTTTATTATTGATGCCAATATAGAATTATTGTGTAGCAGTCACAACTCATTAGAAAATACTTAAAACACAAGGGGTATCGTCTTTGAGATTGCTGTCATGAAAGCAAATGTTCAGAAACATTCTATTTCTCCTCCTCCAGGTGACAGGTAGGATTGCTTTTCCCACCACCTGATCAGGGTTACACATGGTCATTTGACTTGCTTTGGCCAATGAAATGTGAGCAGAGCTCTTGGCTCCACTTCCAGGTGGACATACCGTATTTTGCCATGTATAATGTGCACCCTCATTTTTGGCCCAAATTTTCAGGGAAAAAAAATCTTCTTTTAACTCAAATTTGTATTTGTTTACATTTAGGTACTTGATTTTTGTATTATAAAGGAATTTTAGCATTTATTTTTTAACATATTATGGTACAAGAACTTTTATGTAACAAATAATTACAAAACACAAGAACAGATACAAGGTACAAGAAATTTTATGTACTGGTAACAAACGATATTTACAGATCACAGAAGGCCAGGATCTCTTCATTGTTGCAAGTTTGTCATAAGTTTAACAAAACTGATTATCATATTCCAGGGTATTATTTTGCATATGGATATTGTTATTGATTTCTAGAGTTACAGTTTTAACTCATAAGTATAAATAAAAGAATTAAAAACATTTATATAGATACAGAATTAGTACTACCATGTATAATGTGCATCCTTATTTTTCCCTCACAAATTTGGGCAAAATAATGCACGTTATACACAGCAAAATACAGTAATTCCTGCCCTTCCTGCCGCAGCGATGACCTGAAACAAATGTTTACAGGAAGTTCCTCTCTGAGGCACTGAAGTTAGAGCCTTCCAGTTGATTGGCACTGGACATATAGCATGAGTGAGGAAACAATTTTAAGCTGTTGAGATTTGGGGGATGTTTGTAATAAAGCACACCTCCAACCCATCCTGAGTGATATATATGGTGACCAAAAACATTAGCTCAAAGGGCTGGCCGAGTGGCTCAGTTGGTTAAGAGCTTGCTCAAGAGTGTGAGCTCTGAGCAACAGCGGTTCGAGTCCCGGCCCGAGCTGAGCAGCCACTGAGCTGCCAACAGGTGGCAGGATGGCTCAGCTAAAAAAACCAAAAACAAAAAAACCCCAAAACATTAGCTCAAGTCCAGTGGACTTATGTAGCTTGGACACTGGGTGGATGACGGTGCCATTCTCTGGGATAGACACTTAATGACAAAGTGGAGCATGAGGCAGGGGCTGCTTAATTCTGTTTGGTGCACATATAATAGGCCAGGAATCGTCTGTAAGTTAAGGAATAGAGATGTCATGGGAACAGATGAGCTGGAGAGGAAGCAGGTTGGGAAGACAAGTTGGCTGAGGACGTGGCCCTGGGGAACCCTGACACTTGAGGGAGGGGCAGAGAAAGGAGCTCAGACATGGTAGATTTTCCTTCAAAATGGCACCAAAAGTTTATACAGATTTCATGATATAAAGGTGCTGAACCAAAGGTACAATGACAATTCTTTCCCAGGACACAAGAGTATGTCAGACAGGAAAAGCAGTGACCATGTATCTGTCCCAGGTAATGGAAAAAAGGCAACCTCTTCTCTCCCAAAAGGATTTTCCAGAAAACTGGGATTTTACTATAAACATAAGCAGAAGTCTACTTCCACCCACATTTTGTTCCCTCAGGGCTGCAGAGTAAGATGGGAAGTATATTCAAGGGGAAAGGTACGCGGAATCAAAACAACAGCCACGTGTTTGGGGATGTCCCTTACCCACCCAAATTAGAGTCCCCATGTCCCATGTTGGCAGATATCCATGCCACCACACACAGGGCCAGCTCTGCACATCATTTTTGAGCTCTTATCTTTGAGAAACTCAGAAGCCATGTGCTGAACCTCTCATAGTCACGAGAAAGCCAGTTCCCTACTCACCTCAAACCGAAAAGCACTTTTCACGGGGGGAGTAGTTTGCTTCTGTTCCCTAGCGTATGGGGGTGTGCTGGGTAACAGGAAATTAGAGAACTCAGGTAGAGGATTGGTGAGAAACAGTAAGAGAAAGCGGAGTTCAGGGTAACAACGGAGAGGTGGGGAGCCGCAAGGCCCTTTTTAGGACGTGGACCAGGTGCAGTCATTCCTCTGTAAGCAACACCGAAGCACTAGAATTGGGTTTATAAACAGTTTATTCCGTTCATTAGAATGGGCAGGTCCCAGCTAATGCAGACACAAGCGAGGTATTCCTGGGTTAATGCAGGAGCCAGTGGGCCACATGAGACTGAGCATTGAGGCCAAGGAGAGAGCACCAAAGTTTCAGCTGAGACCCGGCCAGAGCCCCTGAGCTGGGGAGTGGGGGTGGGGGGGTCACGTCCTGATACCGACAGCTGCTCGCTTCTCACAGCTGGGCATACTGCAAGGCATGTTTTTAACACCACAACACTTCAGTGATGTTAGGGGAACAGAAACAAAGAAACGGAACTGTGCCCTGGTGTACCTCAACTGTTGTTTTGTAAGTCACACACTAGGTGTGAAGAATTTTAGAATATTCCGGTAACAATGGGCCACGGAGTGGTAATACCTCTGCATTTCTCCCTCAGTGCGTCCTAACCTGTTTTCATTCCCACCTGAATTCCTGTCCTTAGCCACATGGCCTGATGTTGAAAAGTCTCAACAAAAGTCTCTCAGATGACAACAGCTATTTCCAAAGCAGCACTGTGTGCAGGTAGTCTGACACTGAAGAGTCTCTGGCTAGCTAGCCTCTGTGAAGGGTCATCCAGCCCTGACCAATGCTGACTGAAAGCACCGTATAGAAGACTTTGGAAGATTTCGGAAGTGGAATATGAATAAACATAGGAAACAGACTCCAGAAAGCTACGGTCTCTGGGGACAGGGCCACATAATGACCAGCTCGCAGATGGTCTTGCTGGAAAGCTACAAAGTCATGGCTAACGTAATTCTTAGAAACATTCTGGAGTCCACAGCTGGTAACCTGCAAACTGCTGGTAATCCGTCTCCAGGTATGAGACCATCAGTGTCTAGCTCAAACCTCTATCCCCGGGAAAAATGTTGAATCAGAAGGGGAGTCACACCACCCGCAGTATTTCAGAGGCAAGAAAGGCCTGTCAGGATGTAGAAGCTTCACAAACAATATCATGACTTTAATTCTGAAGGGCACCTTGAGTTCATTTGTCACTTTCCTGAATTTAGCTGTCGGGAACAGACGTAAGGACATTTTACCGGGATGTAACTTTTTGGCAAAATAGAAACTTTGGTCATAGTCATAGTTCTACAAAAATGTTTCAAACAGGTTATTAGTTCTGATTAAAATAATATTTTTAGCAAATGATACAAAACAATAAGAAAGTAAACATCTTCATATCTCGTGTAAGAGCAAAAACTCTTTACCAGCATCTTATTTTTAAATATAGCAAGAGTCAGTAGTGCTTACAAACAGGAGGGTTCTCTTACAGGGAATCAGAAAAGTAGCAAAATAAGGCACAGCTTGTTACTGTCACAGGTTTGAGTTAAACAGTAGTGTTCTTTCTAGAAGGCACGAATTGGAAATCTGATTCCCCAAAGGTTTAAAGTGGGCATCTGAAGGCAATCTCCTCTGACGAGGATAGCTAACTTGAAAAGAATTCCCTTCCCTGGAATTAATGGCAATTAATCAGAAAACACTACTTCTGGGCTCCAGCACTCTGGAACTTATTGAAGGAGTCCGTCGCATCAGCCCGTGTGTAAATGTGTAAAGGCACTGTGCAAAAGGTGGCTGGGCTGACCACGCTTCTCGTGCGGAGTGCATGGTAAAGGAAGGCGCCTTTCCTAGGGATCGAACTTTACATTAACTAACAGAAAATAATCATTTCAGATACAACAACAGGTAAGCTTGATAACAGAGCGGGTCCTAAGTCAGAAGTCTGGAAGAGGGTTCTTGAACAGCAGGCTGGGGTCTCGGTGGCTCTTCATGAAGAGACGCTCCACACTAATGAGCAGGGAGAGACAAAAAGCAGGGAAAGCAGCAGTTTAGTCCTTCAGTGCGATCCAGAGTCAGCGTCGAACGCCAGTCTAGGTGGGGACAGAACTGCGCTTGGGCCGATTTCCTATCAGTGGCTTCTCCACATTGTGCGGAGGGCGAGAGGAGGCTGTCGGAGGACTCGAAACACGTTTCTTTACTTAGTTCCCAGGCAGTGGGCTGTTTCAGTACTGTATATAGTGGTAGCACTGCCAACAGTAACAGTAAAAATAGGGTGGATTTATTTATATAACTATTATATCATCATCATCATTATATGCCAGGCACCATCCTAAGCACTTTTTCTATGTTCACCAGTTTTGTCCGTGTAACAAACACAGGAGGTCCGTATGTTATTACCCTCATTCTACAAATGACGAAACTGAAGCTCCGAGATACTAAGATCTTTGCTAAGGCCACACAGTTGGATGGTGGTGGAGCTCGGGTGGGTCAAAGGGCATCCCTGCTTTTAATAGCAGAACTATGCTGCTTCTTACAGAAGGAAATAGCTGAAGAAAATATATTCAGAGAGAGGACTGGAAGGTCACTGGAAATGAACACATTTTCTCTAATTTCAAAGGATGACTGTTTCTATGAAACGTCTCAGACTTTAATCACATAGCAGTCAAGTATTTTAAACATCTACTACAGAAAACGAAAATCCCTGGAATAGACTAACATTCCTGAGGCCATTTCCTCCTGAGTTCTTGTACATGAAATGAACTGTGAACACACAGGTCCCCGAGGTGGGAGCAGAACTCACCGATGATGATGATGATGATGATAACCACGACGCTAATCCCTATCGCCCACATCTGTAACAAAACAGACGACCATGTCACACTTCAGAGATTACCGTGCTTACTGAAGAGTACCGTGCACTATCACTGTAGTCACTGAAGGAGACATTCAGGTGCACGACAGCCGGAAATTATCCATCATTTTAAAAGTCTAAGTGGAATGTTCTCCATTAGGGCCTGAGGTTACTATTTGCTTTTTAGAAGATGTCAAATGATTTGTGGTCCCTGGACCAGCACATACTTGTGGATACAAGGTCTCCACATCAGGGTGCTACACCTGCCATGGTGCTGAACAGTGTCACCTCGATGCCAGGCGGGGGCAGGATGGACCTGGGATCTGAAGGCAGCACATGTCTGGCAGTTGTATGAATTCGCTCAGCCCATGCTCCCTTTGTGGCTGCTTTCTGCTCTGCTGTGGAGCACACTGCGACTTTCGAGAAGTTCTTTCCTTTGACACTGGAGCCATTCACAGAACCACACGCAAATGGACCACCTCCTCTCTAGCCCTGAACTGTCGGTGTGTGCCCAGGGCCCCGCTGGGGTGGGGGGAGGGGCTTCTGTCTGTCACTGACTCGAATCCTCTGTTCTACATGCTTCCTAAGCTCAGCCACAGACCATGGAGGTTTCCCAGCTGTGGGGGTAGGAAACGGGCACGCACAGTGTTTCAGAGTCAGGGTCCAGCCAGATTTCCATGTGTGCGAAGTCAAATGCCCCTCCCAGGTTCATGACAGCCCAGCATCTGTAGCCTTTGTCAACCCCTGAGGAGGCAGAGGGTGACTTAATGTAAAGACGAGTTAAAGAGAGTTACCTTGCAATTCTTCCACCAGTATTTCCTCTTCAGCTTGGCAGCACTCGTTTCAAACTGGGAAGCTCCTGCCTGCAGCGCATCTGCGCGGTCATCCAGCTCCGACAGCTTCTGGTCTCTTTCCAACACCTTGTCCACGTTCACCCGCATGATGTCCACCACCTGAGTGGGCGTGATCACACCAAGTTACAGGCGAAGAAATGGGTGAACGAAAGGGCTGCGCTTTATTATGTTAAGCCAAACTTTCATCATGAAGGGGGAGGTGCTCACTGTTTCATGATAAAGACACTAGGTAAACTAGGAATAGGAGGCTACTTCCTTAAGAAGATAAAGGGCATTTATGAAAAAACCCACAACTGACATCCATGATCAATGGTCAGAGACAGAAAGCCTTCCCCCTGAGATCAGGGAACAAGACAATGATCCCATATATGGAAAATCCCAAAGAATACACAATAAAAACTTACTAGAGTTAACAAATTCAGTCACGTTTCAGGGTACAAGATCATATAAATCATTGTTTCCATACACTAACAATGAAAGGGACATTAGGAAAATAATTCCATATACAATAGTACCCAAAAGAATAAAACACTTAAGGATAAATCGAACCAAGGAGGCAAGACTTAGGTACTGAAAACTACAAAATACTGCTGAAAGATGGGCTACCGTGTGTAGCCAGCAGCCAGCGTGAGCGGCCAGCAGCCACTGTGATCGGCTGTCCAGAAGCCGGCGACTGATCTGCCTCGCCCAGGAAGAGCGCAATGATGGTGCCAACTTGGGCCAGTGAAGCAACGTCCTCCACAACTAG